ACGTGCAGAACATCGTGCGCAACGCCCAGAAGCTGGACCCGATGCACTTCCTGAAAAACAGCGTGGAGGCGATTATCGCGGAGGCCCAGGTCGTGCCGCTTTGCTTCGATCCGTGGTGGCGCATTATGGTGGTGGCGCTCTGCCTAAAGGTGGCCACATTGCTCTCGGAGTGTAGTACGACGCAGTCGGATGCGTTCTTCGCAAAGTGTCAGGAAAAGATGGAGCTGGCCAAACAAAAGAATCATCAAGCCACCAAAAACTTCATCTCTAATCTCGGCAAGACAACCGAGGAGCCGGCCAAGGAACGAAAAAAGAAAACCAGCCTACCTAAGAGTGGGAAGACTAAGCGCATAAAGGTGGGTGTGCGTCGAGGTACAAATTCAAGTAATACACGTTCAAGTTCTAAGCGAAAATGATAAGTTAAGCATAATTGAAGATCTTTCTGTAAAAGGCCGTGATTGAAGCAAATATTTAGTCGCATCCCGTCTGTTGTATACCTCTAAAGGATCCATCATTCAACGACGTTTAATTAGGGCAATATATTCGAAATCATATGAACTGTATACCTAATGAGTTGCTTTGGGTATAATGTAAACTACGCTAAATTTTAAGCACACCATTGACACCTCAAGTAGTGATGGTGGTCTTCATTTGATTGGTTTTTAATAAACCGTATCTCATTTAACTCAATCATTTATGTAATTCCTGAACCTCTGAAAGTGAATAGGACATTAAGAATGAGATGCATACATTTGTCTTACTATAAGCTCTTCCTACTTTAGTAGGTTCCCTTGAGTTTATTAAAATACACAAAGTTTTGTTTTGTCTTCCATCTTTCCATCCTTTTAATCAACACACCACTTCTATTTTGTATATTATTCTGAGTTACCATTTAATATATGAGAAAATAAAAATTTCCATCACACTTTCTCTTCATACGAACTTATTGAAAGTTATATATACCAAAAAAAAAAGGAAATCGGCTATACAACCTGTCATGTAATTCTTCCTTATAGACTATTTTAATGAGTCATATTTCTGAACTCCGGCACGGACCTTTCAATTGTCTTGAGGAATGGAAGAATAATAACCTCAAGCCTTTTCGCTGTATCTCGCATCCTAAACAAAAGATCCAGGATGACTACTTCAGCGATGGTGTTGATAATGAACTCGAGTTAAATAAGGTTGCCGATGCTGCAGATACTCGTAAAGCCCATCGATGCAGAAGTAGAAGTGTGTCTAGCTCCTTGGGCGTCTCAGCAGATGGCATGCCTGTCGGTGAGTGCAAGGGAACCTTCTTGGATGCAATCTGCACTGACAACACTGAAGGGTCGAAAAGTGCATCGAAGCCTGTGCGATCCATGTCATGGGAAGCCTCTACGCTTGGGAACCAAGACGTTCTTTCGAACGCCAAGATGAGTGATCAACTACTGCCACGGTCAACAGTCCACCATCTCACTCAACTTTTGATTCAATGTGTGCGTGAAGATGAAAAACTATTATTTCTAGCTCAGTTAGCGTCCCTTGAAGCATTACGAAACCTTCGAACCCTCGAGCTATACTTTCAAGATCTAGACGAAAATTTGCTTTAACGATGAACTCAAGTTTCAGTTACACATATCTGCTTTTTCTCTTTCCTTTCTCCCCCCCCCCCCCATACCTTCCATAACTATTACGTTAATTACATTTCTGCTTCTCTAGATGTATTATCGAGCTTACCATTTCATTGATTATGCTTTGATTACACTGAATAGGTGATAACAACTATTGCTTGTGTGCGAAAGCTATCGTAACAGATTACAGGTGTACGAAATAAAAAGAAAATGAACAAAATGCTCTCTGGAAGTCGACAAAAATTTATGGTACATAAAAGATTCTTGTATCTTCTGATCTTTTTTAGATTTGTGAAATGACTTCAGATGAAATGTGCACTCCATATATTTTCTGATTTCATTTTCGAATAACATTCACTTTCTTACAGAATTTATAGCATTGAGATTTTTCCTTTGGTGAGGGCATTCTCTCCTTTTAGTAAATAGTGGATTATAAGGGAAAGAAAGCTTTTTGCATCAAAGAAAACATAACTATTCAAGCTGAGGTAAAGTGTTCAGCTCTATTTATTTATTCACCCTATGAGAAGAACAGTTACTGCAATAAACGAATATCAATTTTCTGCTTTATTGCTCGTGACCTCTTTGCTCTTGATAAGCAAATGAATAAATCTGAAAGTGGTATGCCCTCACCCGTTGATGCGACGAAACTGAGTGAGCATGAAAGCAAAGATACTTCCCGCTACGCCTCTTCCTCAGAGCCCTTCGGGAAAGATGGGTTTAGGATACATTTATATTCACCCAATATGCAAATGGAACTGCTAACACTCGGTGCCTCCATCAACTCCGTAAAGGTACGCGATTCGTCAAAGCCGTTGGGTACCCCGGGGGATTGGGTGGAGACGTGTTTAGGCTTTAATGACCCTGCAGAATGTATGGAGGCCGGAGCACCGATCGGCTCCACACACGGACGGTGTGCTGGACGCATTGCAAACGGTACTTTTGTTCTCGATAGCAAAACTTACCAACTCGCCACGAATTCCGGCCTGCATACCCTCCACGGTGGGCCCTGCGGCTTCAACACCCTTCAGTGGAAGTACATTTTAACAGAAGGCGAGGAGGAAATTGGAGTCTCCTTCAATCTCACTTCCCCACATTTCGACCAAGGCTTCCCTGGTGAGCTCTTTGTCTCGGCGACTTATGCGATCCTCAAGAACACCACCTATCCCACGCTAAAGTACACCCTGCTCGCCAATCTCTCCGAAAAGACCCCGGCGGATGCCACCGTGGTGAACTTGACCAATCACACCTATTGGAACCTCAACGACGTCCCACGCCCTCAGGCCCCAACCGGCATCGCCCCGCTGCCAAAACCCATCTTAAATCACTCGCTGAAGCTGAACGCCAAATATTTCGCGGAAGTCGACCACGAGCTCATCCCGAACGGGGCCATGGTGCCCATGGAGGGAACGCCCCATGACTACACCCAACTTCGCCCGATCCAAAAAGGAATGGAGGCGACGAAAGCGAGGTCCGAGAAGTGGGGCTACGACGATCCAATTGCCCTCGACGTCTGGGACTCGACGCTGCGGGAGGCGGCCGTTGTTTACAGCCCCCTCACTCGTCTACAGATGCGTGTCTTAACCACAAACCCGGTCTTGCTATTGTACACCGCAAATTATCTGCCCGAAAAGGCGAATGGTGAACATAAAAATCGGTTTCAACAACACAGTGGGATTTGTTTAGAGTGCCAATACTTCCCCAACTCTCCAAATGTCGAAAGCTTTCCATCGACAACACTAAAAAAAGGCGAAAAATATTCCGAAACTACCATGCACGAGTTCCAGTTCTTAGGAAGTCCATACAAGTCAGAAAATGCCTAGAGCTAATCCCATCAGATTATGGCTGCGCGGGCAGTATGTCGCACAGTTCTAGCACTTGCTTCTTTTTTTTGTTTTTTTTGTATATGATTATTTTGAATCGGTGCAAGGGACTTTAACATTTTCGATGGAGTTTTATTTTTATTGAAAAGCTTGCTTATTTGTTAGTATAGACTTAAATATCATTATACCTTATATTTAGTTATTTTTAGGTACTATATTTTAAAAGCATTTTTTCTCATCGTGATGTTTTACGTACATAATTATTTGCCAATATATATCATAGATGTATTGATAGAAGGAAAAATAGTAAAGAAAACGCAAATGGGTGTTCAATAGTTTCAAAGACTAATGAAAGCACCAGTATGAAAAAGCGCTTCAGAGACACATTGTAAATATATATCATAATAGGTATTACCGCATTCGATTCATTTAAATGGTTTAGAGAGTTTTTCCCCTTTTTTCTTATACTCCTCCCCTCTTTTACCTTCTGTAAACTCAAATTAATACACTGGGAAATATAAAAGATTAATTAATGCTCCCTCTTCAAAAAAAACCCTATATACCTCAGACTATAAGGACCCCTCTTAACCCTCAGTATTTTTGCGATTTTTTTCCCTGTGGGACACGTTATGAATTATTTAACCTTATTAAGTAAATATTATTCGATATTGGCTATATCCATGTGTTAATCTAGAAAAAAAAGAAAACAATTAAAGGCACCGGAACGAATTCCATGTTTACAGAAGCAAAAGATAGAACCACAAATACCCCTACATTACTTTTCACATTTTTTACACCACACACCAAGAAATGATCCCCCGTTTCCTCCTACAACCACCACGCCGAGTGAGGTGGTAGCCGCGGTGTCACTGCGTAAAGCGCCGAAAGCCGAGAAGTGTTTTCTTTCAAAGTCTCGATAACCTGAGCTTGGCGGCCATGGCAACCCCATTTGAACCGCGTGACGGCCTTATTCAACGCAACGCGTTTCCCAGGGAATTGGGCCTTGGGGGCGTGGCTGAGATCTAACAGGCGCCAGGCGTGCAGGGGCAGTTTTCTTCTTCACCTCGCACACACAAAGGCCGCGTTCGTTAGCCGGTCAGTGGGGGTTCAGGGAAGCCTACAGGGATTTCTGCCATCACGTCCTCACAGGGAGGCTCCCACACTCGCCGGTAGCCGGGCCAACTCCCTTGGATTTACCAAATGGATCGGTGTGAGCTCAGCGCGGGAAGGGTAAACGTGAGCCTATTTGGTTATCCAGTTCGACAGCCTCACGTGTGTTTGTGGGGAAGGGGGAGGGGGGGGGGAACCTCATTTGCCGTCCAATCTACGTGGACCTTTTCTATGCCGTGAAACGGTTGGATACAGGCACGCTGTGTATGGTGCGTAACGCCAAAGTTTACCTTTTCTCGCACTTTAGAGTCGCGGATATCTTCAGGAGATAGAACTCTTTGAATCATTCTTTCAAAAAGGAATTGCGGCTCTGAAAACACAACCAATTGTTCCTATTGTTGATAGAGTATGAAAGTGAAGACTCTCGTAATACACCGTTTTCAATTACAAAGGCTCTCACAACGCCTTTAGCGTGCACACGCCTCTGACAGAGCGCTTCTTTCGGGTCGTTGTGCATTTCCAAAATGCGTATAGACATGAAAACATCGTCATTCATGATATTCGGCGTTGCGACTACACCGTTACGAACCCTAGCTTGGATCTGCTCATTCTTCACTGTCATACATCAAGGGTTTGGAAGTAGCTTCTATCGCTAAACCATACATGATATAAGTGAGCAGCTCACACAATAACGCAGATAGTGTCCCTGCCGCTAGCTCAAAACGCTTGAAATGCATAATTAAAAGAAAGTTCAAAAATAGATGATGCTTCATCTTACTACGATGTTCTCGATAGTGCAGCATGTTTGATTCAATTCATTTTCGCTCAGAATTTACATATGACTCAGGACCAAGGTCTAAAAAATTTTACTGCTAATAAAACTTTGAGGGTAGGAACGTTTGTAGCAATGCACTGTGTCATTCCACAAAATATCATTAGAAGGTATGTACTTCTATGAAGCAATGTGAAACTTATATATTGTCCATCATTGCATTCAAATTGCTCCGTGAGGCAAAGTCACCAGTGCTTCTGAGCAATGCGCTTCATTTCACCTGTCCCATGAACTTCTTTCAGCGCCTCCAAGTACACTAATGCCGATCATTGTGAATGATCAAATCATAACAGTCCCTGCTTTATGTATCGTTATATTGCATCGGCTAATTTCTCGAGTGTGCGTGGATGACCCCTCCGAATTTATCCTCATCCTACTTCTTGACTTTTCTAAAGGATTTCTATAAATTCTACGAAAAGGGCACATCGGTTACGTTGAAAGTAACGCGACATTGGATCGGTGTCTTTTTTGACATCTCCTCGTTTCACCTTTCCATGTCTTGGCCCGTGCGGGAACATCGAACCACGCCACTGCCACCAAGCCTGGCCTGTCGCTTAGGCTCCATTTCATCTTCACAGACACAACCCGTAGAGGAGACCCATCCCTACCCGTCAAGGTGGCCCATAAATACAACGGTCGGTGCATCGTTTTCACAACCCGAACCATCAAGCCTTAGAAATGAAATGTCAACGTCAATGAACCGCCTCACGCAGGATCCCCTCACAGCCCTGTCGTGCGTTGAGGAGCTGCCATCCAGGGAGCTCCCCTGGCACCCCCCGCGTTCACTCCCACCTCCCTCCTACCGAAGTCATATCCCTCTTGCACTACAGCAAAGTCAGGTAATTTACCCCGTTCCGGCAATGGCGGGGGGAAGGACCTCGGCGGCGCCTTCTTCCTCGATCCCTGCCCCAACCGGAGCGGAGCCCCGACGAGGTTTGGACGCCCAAACGCAAAAGCCGTGCGGGGCGGATATCGGCGTCGCTTTGCAGGGCATCCGGGACTCGGTAATCCAGCAAACCTCCATCCTTCAGGCTCAATCGGAGCTCCAGCAGTCCCTCCTGCACGCCACCTTGCAGGCTCAGGAAAATTTCGATCGTGTGTTCGTCGCGTTTAAAGACGAACTACGCGCGACGCGAGAGGCTTTAGTACTTTTCCTAGGCAACCGAACCCACCCAGGGGCTCAATCAAGTCCCACTCGCAATACACTACACAACAACACCCAAACAACCCCGAAGGATGAAATCTGTCCAGAAAAAATGACCCTTTCCAATCACATCGACAGTGCCAAACGCCAAAACCGAAATCTCAGTTTACACCGCACCAATGTCGTGACGCTTTTGGGCGCCGCGTTATCCAATCAAAGTAATTCCTTCACAAACTCCCCATCCGATGCCGCGGGGTTGCGAAACGAGACGAGCACTTCGCACCGCGCGGGGTCTCCGGTGTTATGCGATTCCTTCCCCGTCCGCAGTGGGGTGATCTCGTCCTTCAAAAGGCGAATTAACCCAACCGAACCTTATGATGACGGGGCCGCTGGGGATGAATTAGGCGGCAAAAAAAAGCAGCAGCGACGGAGCATGGAGTCGGAAACCCTTTCGGTGATGCACCTATCCGGTGCTGCTTCGGTCGGTGATGAGAAAACCGTTGATCCTGAAGAAGACATATTCTTTATGTAACCTCATATGACTGTTTCCAGTGCGACTCTAGAACCGATTCGGTGTGAACTGGAATACTATTAATCATAACCTTCATTATGATCCTATTTGTTCTTACCCATGCGTCGATTCAACCGAAGGTTGCTACGCTTGTCTTAGAACATATCCTTTTTCCACCTTTCCCTTTTCCTTTTAATGCTGCTGTATTATTTTTTGAGGGCACAACTGTTCTGTAATCTACGTGAGCGATTTGCCTACGGGCTCGCCTCTCCTGGTCCTCACAGGAGCGCAGTAGGCCATAAATTTAAGAAAAAAAATAGCAATGGCAACTGCTTCGAGCAAATTTCCTGCCTAATATATGTCATAAAATATAGAGCCTGATCTGAACCAAAATCTGAATTATTGCCACTGAGTTCATGTAATCTTTTTTTCTTCTTAGCCTTTTTAAAAAATTGTACACAATAATATATCTATATCGATATATTGTGTAAAATATCAATAGAGCTGTAAACTCGAAGCTGCTTTGCTAAATCTGTGTAGTGGAACAGAGTTAATCACACAGGGAAGCACGTTTTTTTTATAATTCTTATATAGACTTTAAATAGAGAAGGGAAGTGTAATAGAATATTTATTGTGCTAAAAGAAGCACAGGCAGAATATGAGTCAACATTGGACAAAGTTCATTGACCAAACATTGCATTCCACAAATGATACTATTAGGCGCCTTAAGGAACGCCAGGCACACTATGAAGCTGCCAAAAAGCGCGTCAATGACGCCTTTGAAAATTCGGAATTCACATTTTCTTCCACTGCCCCTCGTGTTAATGAGTCTTATCGGAATGTGATGCCATCCTCTAAGAATGAAATAAAGCGGAGTGGAAGTTCCGCTCGCGTGACCTCCGAGTACACCAATGGCTCCCAAATGAGACTACCACCGCCGCTTCCCCCTAGTGTTATTGACTACGCATTGTTTGGTGAAGAAACGCACACGAACTTGCCCCTTAGCAATAGTGAAATCCGACGACACTCGTATTCCTCCCGCGAGGATCGCGATCTGGCGGAGGCCTATCGTGTGGTGGAAATGCAGCTCAAGAACGTCACGGCCGAGTTGGAGCTGGTGCACACTATTCACAAGGACCGCGAGCGCGAGCTATCCGACCGCTTCTCAAAACAGAATGCGGAAATCAATTCCTCCTTGAAGGAATTAAAAATGGAAAACGACCACCTCAAGGATTCCATGCGAATTCTAGAAAGTCGGCAAGCCCAGAGCAACCCCGCACTGCATGACACCGTCGGGGCCTTATCCCTTTATCTGAACAGCGCGGCCCATTCTCAATCTGCGTTCGGCGCCAAACAACCGCTAAAGGATTTTAAACCCCAGGCGTCTTCTAGGGGGTTTAATCTGCCTTATGTATCGCCTGTTGAGGCCAGCGTCTATAGCGCCGGAGCGGCCAGCGATCACCTCGCGGCGAGCTCGCTGAGCGCGCTTTTTCAGCGGGTGGGCGATCTCGAAACGAGTGCCCGTCAGCACCAAAAAGCCCTAGAAACCCGCCAACACCAGATGGGCCACACCATCCATGAGGCGGTGGAGAACAAAATCAATCTTGAGATCGAACGCGTTCGCTCCGTCGCGCGCGAGGCGGCCTGCGCGAGCACTGAAAGCCTTATTCAGCTCCGCCTCAGCGCGGTGCAAACGATGTTTAACGACGAACTCCGCAAGGTATTGGAGTCCGCCGCCGTCGCGCGCGAGTTGTCGGAGGGGAACGAACGCCTATTCCGGAAATGGGAACAAAAATGGTCAAACAAGTGGCTAGAAATGGAGGATCGAATGCAGGGGGTGGAAAAGTTCACCCAAACCGTGCGAGAATCCCTGTCAAGTGATCTACAAAAAAGTCTCGAAGGAGATATCAATGCGGTACGGCAAGAGTTCACCACGCTGCGCCGTGAAACTCAGGACGGCAGGGCCCGACTCGCTCAGGAAATCGCTTCCAAAATCGAAAGCGGCCGCTTGGATGTGATGTCGACGGTGCAGAATATGCTCAGTGAACAACACCATCAGGAAGGTTTCGTTCAGGAGGCGGTGGCGCGACGTCTGATCGAGTCCGCCCTCCAGCCCCTGCACACTGGGCTGGAAAACGCGCAGCATGGGCTGCAATCCCTGAGGGAATCCAATGAGGCCTGGCGTACCCAAACCCTTTCGCGCCTTGGTGAGCTCGAGGAAGGGGCAGAAGGCGAAAAGCTAAAGATGGCCGAGGTGCGGCAGACACTTGCCTTGCAGCCCGCCGTCCTGGAGCGCATCCGGGCCCAAGTGAAGGAAAGCACCCAAAAACAGCAGCAGCTCGACGCGGATTTTCACGAACTCCACGCGGCCGCCTCGGACGCGATCGACGTCGCGCGCGGGCGGGAAAGCCAAGACGCCGAGCAGCGCGCGCACTTCGAGGGGGATCTCCGTCGCCTTCAGCAGGCCCAGGAAGGTCAATCCAAGCGGCTCCACATTGTCGAGACCGCGCAGGATGCACAGCGGCAGCACCTCGAGCAGGTGGGAGAAACCGTGGGCTCCTTGGAGGTGACCATAGGCAGAAGTCTGCCGCCGACAACCCAAAAACTCAACACTCTTCAGCAAACGGTCCACCAGACGTGCCTGCCGCAAATTGAAAGCCTTCAGCACGAGATGTTGGCCGCCACCACCCGCTCGCAGCAGCTCCACGATGGTCGGACCTATCACGAAAAGCTTGTGGGGCAGCTGTTGGTTGATGTCAAGAAGGACGCCGAGGCTCGAATGCAGGATATTGAAAGCCGCATGCGGCAGGATTTAGAAGAAGCGCAGCTTCGATGGAAAACTAATTTGGGAAGCCATGCCGCATTGCTCACTCCGATCACCAAGAGCGTCGAGACGCTCATGACGAAGGCATCTCTTAGTGAGAACGCACAGAATAGCATGTCGGAGTCGATACAACGATTGGAGGCAAACGTGGCTACGCTTGAGGCATCCGCGTCTTCGGATGCCGATGTAAAATGCGCCGTCTCTCAATCCTCCGCGGCACTTCTGAGCAAAAAGATTCAGGACCTTGAAATGGGGCTTCGCGCTCGTGAGGCGGACGACCCACACGGCCTCACCGTGCGCCTTGACCTTCTGGATTCCGAGCAGCAGCGGCTGGGGCAAAATGTGGTGGCTCTCCAAGATCAGCTCTACGAAGCCGTTGGGAAGATCAAACACGAAACCCAACTTCATGATGTCTCCTTAAAAGAATATGCGATGGCGACGGTGTCCAAAAGTGAACATAGAACTCTCGAGCACATTAACTCCACTGCGCATCGCAACGAAGAGTGGCTGAAGGAGCTAATCCACCCATCCTGCCTTGTCCAACGCATCGTGATGGAGTCGTCGGTGTTAGGCCTTCTCGCCAGGTCAATTCAACCCCACCTAGGGTTGAGCGATGAGAAACTCGCCTCCATTGATGCCATGTCGGAGGCGCTGCGCATCTTCGAACAACAGCAAGTAGAGCTAAAGCGCGGTCTGGAGGCTCTTAAAGATGATTCTCAGGGGGGTGGAAAGAAGGCAAAGGCCTTTGATAATGAGAGTTCTGGGGGGGCGCTGTTGACCCTGGCGTGTGGTTCCACCTCCTCCCAGAGCACGGCCGATGCGGAACCGACCACAGAGGTCCCGAAACCTGGAAAGGATAGGGATCTTTTGCTGGAGCAGATCCGGTTGGAGAACGCGCACCTGATTCAACAGCTGAAAGAACTGCCCGACAACCTCCGCCACGCGGAGCAGCACCTCAAGGAGCAAATCCTGCAGTCCCGCACCGCCTCGGAGGAGGCCACCTCGTCTTTGCTCGTCAAGGTCGCCGCGCTGGAGGCTCAGGGCGCGAGTTTGACGGACACCTACGCGCAACTGCACAAATCGGTGGGCAATCGACTGCAGGCCGCGCAGGAAGCGACGGAGCAGGCCCACGCCGCCGCTTTTCAACAACTGCGGGCGGGGGTTCGCCGGCTGGAGGAGTCCCACACGACGCTCGCGGAGAACCACGGCCAACTCGCGGAGGCCGTGCGCAAGGTCGGCGCCGAGGGCGAGCAGGGCGGTCGGATGCGGGAGGCGCTGACGGTGAAGTTGGCCGGGCTCGAGGGGCTTGTCGTCACGCGGCTGGAGGAGGTCTATCGGGATATGATTGAATGGCATCAAAACCAACTCGCAACCCTCGAGCAGCGGCTGGCGCGGAGGGCGGTGGAGGAGGACTCCCGGTGGGGCGCCCTTCGCGAGGAGATAGAGCAGAGAACGAGGGAGGTGTGCGACGCACACGTTTTGACCGCGAATTCTACCCACGCAAAAGGGACCCGCCGCGGCGACGATGCGCAGGACCGCGACGCGTACACGCGGGTGGAGCTCCTGGAAGGATCGCATATCGCGCTCGAACAAAAACTTTGGGGTGTGGTGACATCGAACGAAGTCGGATTAAAGGCGACCGCGGACGCCCTCACCGGACTGCGCGACTCTCTGCAGCACTGCGTGAGCTGTGTGGTGCAAGAATTACAAAATGATAGCCTTATGCTGCGCATAGTTAAAGGTGGGAACACCCCCGGCTCCTCGCTCGTGATACCTGGCCAAAGAGAGATAAACGAAAACAATGAGACGTTGCCCAAGCTTGAGGCCCTTGATCAGGTCTTTGTGCTTTTAATGAGGCAATTCAGCTATGTTTGTCATGGGCTTTCCACTTTGCAGGAAAACGCCTTCGCAACGCTGGAGTTGGTGCAGCAGCAAGAAATGAGCATCCTTGCCATCCCCACGCTTCAGGAGGCATTTTTACAACTTGCCTCTCAAATGAGAAAAGTAAGTATGGCCCTTCCGGAGCTGGGGGAGTGGGATGTGGGGATTGAAGAAATGATACAATCGACCATATTGAAACAGCAAGATACTGTTGTTGACGAACAAAGCGATAGAAACTAACAATAAAGTTTTAGCCTTTATTTTATAACTCATCCTTTTTTTCTTTTCAGGTACCGAATGCTACGAACCTTTTATAAGGAACAATTAGTACGGTTTTAAATAGAGCTATTGGAAATTTGGTAAACTGATGTAAGTGATGATGGGTACCTGATATGTTTACATTTTTTTACTATTGGTGTTTAAACTTTTCCTAGAAATTATTAGTAAATTCTATAACCTTGTAGCAACATGAACCGTACAGTACGGGTGAGCGAAATGCAGGAGCTTCTTCGCCATTACGCGCAGGAGATTAATGCTCTAGAAAATAAAAACGACCTTCATTGCATCAAGGACACCCACGACAATCATGACTTTAGGGAACTAATGGAACTTATCCAATCCCAGAGCTACCGTACGGATTCCTTACACAACCCTCCACACCGCAGCCTGCGTCTTACCACGAGGCTCTCAGGCGATAGGGCGTCCGCCGCGGACGACTGGGACCGCTCCAAAGATGAGGCATTACAAGCGATCACCGCAAACCTTCTGGTCGCCCACTCAACACACAAAGCGCAAGCGGGTGTATCGCATGCCGATGGGGTTTCTGAGAGCATGGCAGAGTCGCTTCGTGTTCTGGCTGAAGGTGGGATATCCGGAGATGCATTTAGAAACCTGCGCTTGCGTCTTTTGGAGCAAATGTTATTGACGCAGAGGGAAAAGATCCCTCCGTAGCAGCTTCTGGTAAACCTGTGAGGTTTAAATACAAGTGATGCCGAGGTTTATTTTCTGGTTGCGGCAAAGCATAAAATGAAAGGCCGATGTAATGTAGCATATGGTAACTTTTGAACGTCATTGTTCATAAAAATTGCTTTTTTTTTATTTTGAAAGAGAGGGGGGGGGGATTCATCAACTAGAGAAGGGTTGGGACTCATCAATGGTAGCTTTCTGTTATTATTTGTTTGATCCCATCTTTTCTATTAAAAATGATGTTTTTCTCCAGAATTCCGGGTGCCTGTCTCTGTAGAATGAGGAGCAAGAAAGGGAAAATGACCGTGATGGGTATACTCTTTCTAGGAATTCTTGTATGTGGTACCCTTTTTCTCTCTTCACTGTACCTTTGCCATTTTTCAAAAAGATGTAACTCCAAAGTAAAGGAGTTGCGGTAAATCTTTTTCTTTGTTTATCCCCTCTTTACTCACATCAGTCATCGTTACGGGGACAGTTCGGATATATTTCTATATGTTTATTCACTTTTGTGGTGAACAAATTAATTCTTTCTTTGACTGACGAAATCAGACCACTTGGTTTCCATCACTCTTTTATAGTAAAACTAAAACCAGCAAGAAAACCATTTAGATTCGCATGGGTCAGCCTAATGCAAAGGAATCCAAACACAAGGGGGCACGGTCAAGTACGGGTATGATATTACATGACCCTTCGTCTATGATGACAGGTGTGGGATTGATCCCCTCGACGGTTCGCGATATTGTGCTCCAAACCGGGCATGGGTCCGGGGGTAATCCAGTGTACTCCCGTCATGCAGAAACTACAAGTGTAGGCCAAGGGATACAGCGAGGCCACGGCCCCATACCCACCCAACATTTTAGTAATTCAAATGTAGCCTTTCCCGTCGTTTTACGCTACCTGGACCAGGACGTGAAGACGCTGCTGGCGCGTCGAGTGCAAGTCTGCGTGGCGGTAGAGGCGATGGACTGGAAACCGCTGCTGATGACGCCGAGCACGGACTCCTTTTACGCCCTGTTGGAGCTTCCACCGGGGAAGTATAAATATCGATTCATCATCGATGGAAAGGAGGTCGTGGACAGCACCCAACCACTGGCACCGCAGGAAGACACGTCCTCCCTACCGCCAACAACCGACAACGAAGGAAAGGACCCCCATGAGAATTCCACCAACGAAGTTAATGCCGTCCTAAACAGAGTGATAGAACGACGTCCTGCCAACCTGATCGTGCTCGATGAGTCCTCGCTGAACGTGGAGGAAACCGATGGCTACGACCCCATAGACGATGAAAAAGGCTGGGGACAGGAGGAGACCATCTCCGAGGAATCGCGCAAGTACCCCCCCCTCATTCCACTTCATCTGCGCTATACCCCCCTTAATTCGCCCCCGACCTTGGTGCGGTGCGCACGCAATGGGTGCCTTTCCGTCGTGGACGCCTCGTCGGCCGGGAACTCGGACTGCGCCCAGCCGGAGCACCTCCCTTTGCCTCTGAGCGTGACCATCAACCACGTCTACTTCCAGCGCCGCGAGGACCACGCGGTGATGGGGGTCACCACACGGCATAGCGATAAGTTCACAACGGTCGTGTACTACACCCCGCTTCCTGTACAGTAGCTCACCAAAGGGAAGAAAAAAAAACAAGGGAGGGGGGAGGTTAAATAAAACGTTTGGTGTGTACAGAGTGATGTATCTCTGGTGAGAGAAAAAAGCGTGGCATATTGCTAATTCGCAGTTAATTCATTTTCTATGTTTGTGTGTCTGTAGGCATACGTTTATATTTTTTCTAAGAATTTTTTTTATGCTGATGATTTATGATTATAGTTGTTGTTATTATTGTTGATGTTGTCACCGTTCAAGTTTTCTTTACTAAATTACTTACTGGAAAAAAATGCTAAATAGAAAAAAAAAGGAATGCAACATGATTATATACTTCATGAAGATTTTTCCTTTTAGTATTGGGTGTTTCTTTGTGTATATACATAACTAACTAGATAATCGAAAGATACAAGCCGTTTGTGTTTGGAATGTGTATCATTTACGCAAGGTTTTTACTCTCTCTCTCTTAACTATTATATATAGTTCTGATTGCTGTTATTATTATTAATATTTTGCATAATTTAAGATACTTTGGGGAACTGTGTATAAAATTGGTAGAAGTGTGTGTCGATCATGGTGATTTTTTTTACATACTACTGAAAAAAAAATCAATTCTAATACTGATCTTCTCTTTATATTTTGTATGCATATATATAATATACATTTGCTTTAAAAGGTAAAAAGAAGAGTTATCATTCAATACGAATACAGAATGCTTTCTGTAAATACTTTTTGTCTGATTATATTACTTTTCGTTTAAATTATTCGCCCTGCACTGTCTAGTATGCCTACCACAAAGAGAGAAGAAAATGCTTTATCGCGTCGCTACTGGCACCGTTTAGAAGAAATAATACAGGGCAGTGATCATCGGGTCTACACAGTTTCAAAAGTTGCTGCCTTTATTTCGAGTCTCCTATATTTATTAGCTCTACTATTGCGACGCGTGGTATCGCCTTCTCCCCGTGGCAAGAACATAAAAGTAGTTAATTCTTCGTCAAAGTAGAAAATTGTAGTTTGGGAAAAAGAAGCTAAAGTATGATCACGATATACATGTTGCTAGTAGTACTTTATGTTTAAAATTACTTTGAATGCTCCTTTAATCATTTAAAGGGACTATATGTGTGCATTCCCCCAACCACACCTTTGTGTTTCCTCCGTGTGTGGTCTATTAATGTCACAGACTTAAAAAGTGATTTACAATTACATTGCTTTTTTATTTAGCTCCAAAGAATCCCTTATATGTCATATCTTTCAATTGGAACACCTCGTTCACATTGTCAAAGTACAAAGTCGATATCCAATAACAGACCTATTTCTACAAATGAAGCTATGCTTTTCCGAAGGTTGAAAGAAAGGCATCAAAATTAGAATAGTACAGCGGAATGACTTGCATATTCACAACTTGCTAATTATACCATCCTTGAAGAAACAGTAGAAAGGGAAAGAAGCAACAGCTGAAAAATGATTTTTTCCATGTTGAAAATGCCATCCCGCTTTGCGTGCGCCTCCGCGATGCACTTTTGTTTCAAGCCTTTCTTCTTTGTAAGGTTCGTAACGCTTCCAGACGTTGGGTAAGGATTGCTTAACGGGCTCAACCTTGTAAACTACGACGTCTTAGAGGTTCAGCACCTTCGGGAATTGGTAGGCATCGTTCGGACAGATAGAACTCACCTTATCCCCACAGCCCACGCGACCATGTCACGCAGCCTTAGACAATCTGTGCGTGACTTTTTAACCAGTGCGGCGTTAGCGGTGAGTGTGAGGAAAACCCTCTCAGCTCCGACCTCGGGCTATGTTCCGGATTATATCCATACTCAGTAAAACGCAGTACGACTGTACACCACAAATAAGTTTTGGATCGCCCTGAGAGCGAGTTGATGTGAATTCTTTTCTTTTAAAATTATTGTATAGAGAAGAATATTACAACCTACGTCGGAATCGTCTTTTGCACTGATTCAATTCACCACTGAGTTGGGTGTTCTTGATCTTCCTGATGACCATCCCTTACGGTATCCTGCTGATTACTGTACTTCTTGTCTGCACATGCAAGCTTTCCGACGTAGTCTACATCCCGTCAACTTTAATGAGCAATTTTATCTGACCTTACATTCTGACCGCCATGCGTAACTTCGCAACATTGAATTTGACAAAGGAGTTGTGTTCCAGTCGGCATAATACCTCGGTTATATATCAGCTGCTCGAAAGTAACCTTATCTACGCTCCCCGTGCTTCAGAGCTTGTTCTGTGTGTCATTGTCATATTTTATTTGTGGCTTGTTCTGACTAAACACACCACATTTGACGATGATGACCTGTTTATTCCTACAAAGCACATTGAAGGAAGACCTGTCAATGATATCCCAACTATAGAAATAAAGAAGAAGCTCAAGATGTAGACGATGATCTATTTATTATTTCTACTGAAACTATATATATATATATATTTATTTATAGTTGCATCGGTTTGTCTTTAACACTCACTGTAACCTGTATCTATGACATCTTTTTGTTTTCATAATACGCATGCATATATTATAAGGAAGTGTTAAAAATGGATGCTTTGAGTGATAAAAGGAATGACTAAGTGTATAAATTAATTTATACAAATTTTTTTATTATAGAAATAAAAAAAGCGCATTGAATTCCATACCCCACTCATTTATCTTACATAGATGCACATACATAGTAGTAAATGAATGTCTCAAAGGTAACGTTAGGCTTCGTATAATAATGATGTCTGAACAACATCAATAGGCGAGAATATAATATCAAAGTGTTGTACACTAATTTATTAAAAATAAAAATATGCATGCTATACTATACTGAGTCATTAGGCCTTTGTTTGTACTCAAAGGTCATAAAGTAAACCTAGAAAGATAAGCAATATTAACAATATTTTCGGAAGAATCATTGCATGCGTATTATCACTCTTTATTTTTTTCCTCTGAGTATCTAAGCACTTTTTTTTTATCAATTCTACTTGTATGTCGTCTTTATTCAGTTCCTCCCCTTGTTGGCGCGAGGGGTTAGAAAGGAAAAACAGTGATCACATTTACAGCGCGACATGTCAACATCTTTTGAGAGTTTCCGTTTGCTTCGTGTGCCATATTCAGTGCAGGAAATAACCAACCACTTTGTGGAGTACTGTCTCCAGAACCACATCCTTGCGCGTGGATTATGCCGAATTGGTTACATTCAACGATGCAAACCCATACTTCAGCTTTCTAGCGAGAGTTCTAACGCGGTAGAAAAGACAACCAGTAACCCTACCACCCTGCTACGTGGGCTTGTCGCCAACAAAAACATACCCAAGGACACTAACGTAGTGATGCTTCCACTGAGTGCATGCATAGGTCCATCGAATGTTGTAAAATGTGCGTCTTTTTTCAACGTTTTTCCTTGTGAAGAGCGTGAAAAGTATTTTTATCAAGCGGCCTCCGTCCAAAACAGTCGAGTGGCAGAGAAAAGCCTTATCCGGCATAACCAACTATTCCTGGCGCTTTACATAACCTACCTCCTGCTCGTCCGGGCCCTCAAGCCGGACGCGCTGAGAGAAATCCCAGGGTCCTATGCAATTAATTACCTCGATTTCCTCCCAAGAAGTGAGGGCAATTTTGCAGAGCTGGAGACGTGCATGGTGATTACCCTTGAGACCGTGGAGGCCTGTCGGATTGGGCAAACCTGCTTGGCCACCCATTTTAATATCCCACAGGCCGAAATACGGCCTTTACTGGTGTGGGCGCTTTGTATGATCTACAGCCGCATGGTGCCGATTGATGAAAGGGGCCTCCTGGAAGAGGCGTTCCGGGACACCCCTGCTGCGCACATGTTCGCGGGCACCACCCAGGCTCTGCGCCAGATCAGCGCTGGAACTAACAATGCCAACCACACCAGCACTGACAGTAACAATGACAACAGCGGCCCGGCCTCCGGGAGTGCCCTTGTGACGGAGCCCATCTCCTTTCTGTGCCCCGTCATCGACATGTGCAATCACGGCGACAAGGAGAACGTCGCGGTGATGGTCCCAGACGCCGCACCGCGACGGGTGGTCTGCCTGCGCACCCTGCGTAATGTCGCTCAAGGGGAGGAGCTTATCATGACGTACAGCCAATCTCCAGCAGAGCTCAGGACGATATGGGGCATGTCTCAGGTGTTGGTTTAAAACAAATGGTTTGAAAAGGAAACTAGCAAAACAAGGAGGTATCGTCCTAGCTCATAATTTTGCCAAGATGTTGGCTACCACATGGGTTGCCTGGCTGTCATGTGAAATTGTCAACACACGTACGCGTTTGTCAACATTGGTCATTCAATATCGATTTTCCATTCCTCAACTTGTGAATGAGTAAACATTTTTACCCTATTGAAAAGTTTATTACTTCCTTATTGTGTTCGTGTAAAATTCCAAATCCAGTACTTTTTTTTCTTTTTGTATTCTTTTAAAATGTTTAAGAAACTTTTATAGGGAGGGAGAAGTTTTCAAGAGTGGAAAATGCTATAGTTTTCATCGACACCGAGAACCCTCACCACTCTCAAAGCTGCGTTTTTATTAGATGTTTTTTCGAAATCTAAAGCGCTGTAGTAGCGGCAAGCAGTGGGCGCAGCGACAGGCGCTCGATCCGTTTGTCATAGATGCAAGACGAAAAGGTTATATTTCCCGAAGCGCCTTTAAATTACTTTACCTCGATGATCGTTATGGGCTGTTTCACAGAAGAAAAACGCGTGCCGTGATTGACCTCGGCTGCAGCCCTGGTGGGTGGTGCCAAGTTATTCGTGAGCGCACGGGCGATGCTTGCATGATTTTTGGTGTGGATATTCTTAATGTCAAAGTGAACGTGCTAAATGCGGTGTTTGTGCAGGGTGATTTCAAATCCATTGATGTGCAAAAGACTCTTCTGGAACACCTGAATGGTCATAAGCTGTTGCCAGAAAACATGAGTTCATCCCTCTCCGCTACGACCACTGAGGACTCACGAGGTCATGGAAAAGATATCTGTAAAAGCCGTGGCAAGGTTGATGTGATCGTATCTGATATGTGTCCGAATAGAGAAGGCGGCGCACAGGATCGACATCGGATCAGCGCTCTAGATCTGCTTGCCCTCAAGTTCAGTCTCCCTCTCCTTAAAGAGGGTGGTCATTTTGTCTGCAAGGTACTCGGTAGCCCCGCCTCCTATAAGGATCTTCACGTAGCGATGCAGCGTGTGTTCCAGCAGGTCCATATTAACAAACCGTCTGCGAGTCGTATGCACAGCGATGAATCATTTCTGGTAGGTCACTCCATGCTCAAGGAGACAAGCCCTATGCAGTTTTGTGAGAACGGTATAATACGTCCAAATGAAGGACGTTTCAACTTGGATAATTGGCCTGGATTTATGCGCACTCAGGAATACAGAAATCGCAAGAAAAAATGGTAAAAATCACCTTTATGATTGATATTCTTCTTTATATGGGTTACATACAAATTTACTAATAGAAGCAGTAATACATGACAGAAAGAATATATGAATTATAATGCTATAACTCTAGAAGTACCTTCCCACTTGCCTCAAACTAAAAATAACTTTATCCTTAACGAAGGAACCAGAGGGTTATTAATTTTTTAAAAAAAGATCTAATTGATTAATATACATATTTTCAGACAAAATTTCTTTTTTACGATTTCCTTTGTGATCCAGTAATTTGAATACTATCAATGGAAATTTGTAACGGGAAAGATGGTCAGGTAATGC